TAAACTTATATTAGAATAAATATTAGAATTATTACATTTATTAAATATTATATTACACGTTATTAAATTTATATTTGTAAGACGGTGTTTTGTTTTGCTCCTGATTTTTTCTTTGTTCCCTTTCGAAGCCTGGCTCCATGCTCAAAGCAGCATCTCTTATCCTGTGGGAATAAAAATCTCCGGAAGTTGGTCTTGATTCATTCTGTGCCTTAGAAATTTCCATCCTGTCTTTCCGTGATAAGGGAGAGGGCAGAAATCCTCGCCCCCGGGTAGAAATCACACAGTCACTTTTCGTGGTTCTTCCCCTCCAGGTTGTGACGTTCGATGCCAGGGGAGTGAGCGGGCACCCGAACCACCGGTCTGTCTACGCCGCCGTCAGGTACGGTCTGCATCCCGGTCAGTGCGTCCCACCGGCGGTCCTGGGCTGGGGGACCGACGGCCAGGTGCACTTTAAAACAAAAACGACAAGAGCTGTATTAGAAAATGTTCGCATTCTGCCCGCACAAGGGGATTGTGTGCTGGAAAGCAGCTGGAGTCAGCCGTCTTGAAAAAGAAGGAAAATTTTGCTGGGGGTGTGTGTGTTTATTGGACTGATTGATCGATTTCTGAGACGTCCAGCCTGCTTTTCCTCCATGAACTGGGGGGGTGGGGGCACGCACAGCACCTCTTCCTCCAAGTTGTTTTGCAGAGCGACATTCTGGGCAGGCTGCTGGAAAGTTCCCCGGAGTGAGCTGAGCGTGGACTCAGATTCAAGCCTCCCCGATCCTGTCCCAGCCCCTCAACTGCTAGTCCAGCCCTTCTGTAAGATGTCACGTTTCAGAAGGGTGCTCACGTTGAACCCCTGGCATAGGATGCAAGGCCCTGTCTCTTACCCACCCAAACGCACCTCGACCATCTTAGACAGATGACAGTGGATAAAAAATGAATTATAATTGTATTGGCATGAACAAGCCACACGCTCCGGCCCCACCAACCTGCTTCTTTGGCTTGGTGCTAGCTATTCACGACCCCTCTTTATCCCCCCTGTTCCCCAAAATCCAGTTGATCATGGGCAGCAGGGGAATGCAGCTGTTACAACCACACACATGCACACGCACACACACACACCCTTGAGCTTCAGGGACACACCGCTCCCCCCATCGCCTTGTCTGGATAATGATGCTACATTGCAAATCTCATGCCATAAGCAAGGGGGTGGGCAACTTTTGGGGTCTCCCCTTTTGCCCCCATCTGTGCAGCACGCGGGCATTGTGTAACACTAGGACTTGGCAAGGGAAAAAACCCGTTCTGAAGAGGAGGCTGCCCCCTACAGGCCACCCAGAGCAGCGAAGGGGTGCAGAACAGCTTTGCAGGACGGGGTAACCAGCCAGAATATTTTCCTTTTTCCCTGTTGCACACTATTCTATCAAGAAAGCACAACATGATTGCTACTACTCAGGTTTCCACTTGCCGCCCTCGTAGGATGTCACTTTGGCTGTGCCCCACCGTCCCCCTCCCCCCATCCCGTTTAATTCGTAGGTGGGAATTGGGGCGCAGTCTTTCCTTGCCTAACTCTCCAACCTGGCAGACGTGCCTGGTCTTTCGGTCCCCTCAAGGGCAAGACTCAGTGGCTGCCCATCCAGGACCAGCAGAGGAGAGGGCAGCACCCCCCAAGGCTGCCCGCCCCCTCCCAAACTTTTGGGAGCAGCTTTCTCCTAATGTTTAGCCTAAATCTGCTCCCTTGCAGTTGGATCAGATCCACGGTTCACGGATGGTTTACTATGCCAGGCAGGTTAAACGTTACAACCGTGCAACTAAAGCTTGGCGGTAAATGAGAGAAGAGAACTTTTGACCAGATACACAGGTTGAACCGTCAGGGGGTGGAGGGGGTGGGAGAGCCCCATCATACATCTACTCACCTCTGTCCTGTTTGCACTTCACAGGTCCTTGCACTCGGAGAGGAAGGTTCTGGAAGGTGGGTGTGCTAGTGAGTGAGCCAGGGGCTCTTTTTCTGTTTCTTTACACACATCTGGAAACATTGCTTCATCGGCTGCTTTCTGGTTCACAAAACCATTTTATTCATGAAGCCATTTGGTTAACAGAGCTAAACCATAAAGGAAGCCATTCGTCTCTAATTTTTATTTCAATGTCCTGGTGCAAAAGAGCTATAAACGTGCACCTTCAGAAGAATTGTTTGGGGGGAGTTCTTTCTGTCTGGTAGGCAGACTCTCTTGTCAAAAATGTGGGCCAGAAAGGAAGAAAAAAGGTGAAGCAAAGAGCATTTATTTACCTTCGAAATACGTATGTCCAGGGATAAGAAGGAACATGGTAGCATTTTTTCAGACTAACATTATTCAAAGGCAGAAGCTTTCGCGAGCTTCACAGCTTCAGCCTTTGAATAAAATGTGCTAGTCTGAAAAAATTCTACCACACTTCTCCTGATTTTTGGCTGTACCATACACTAAACACAGCCCTCTGCTCACAATAGCTTTCCAGTGGAAGAGGCTATTCTTTTGCTATTAAATATGCTATCAAAAATCTTTCCGGCGTGGCCTTCAAAAAGTTGTGCAGACTTTTGTACTCAACTGTTCTTTTAGAAAGTCTGGGCATGTCTGAATTCACATTCTGTCCCCTGATATTGGCCAGTCAGCTTTCCCAGGGTAGTTCACCCCCATCTTTATGTTATAATGGAGCATTATACATTTATTTTCATCTTCCACCTCCTCCCAGTTAGGCCTGCTTGAAAAAGAGGGTGTGTTTACTAGTCCGGGCGATTTTTGAAAAGTGCAACCCACTTTCCTAGGATGATCAACCAGGAGAACAGAGCAGAAGGTCTACACAGAGGGCAGAATAGTTGGGAAGATGAACAAAAGGGCCTCTTGAGATTTCTGGAGGACATTTGACCGGCTCTTCTTGGAAAGAGGAACAAAAGGATACAGGAAGATGAAAAAAATCATGAGTGTCCTACTAGATCAGGCCCACCATTGACATATTTCAGCCTCCTACATCCAACAGTTGGTAGATGGGGTTTTAAGGTGGTAAAGGTGCTTTTCTTGCAGCCACATAGGTATTGGAGTAGATGCCTGTGAATGGAGATCATCCTCTTTTAACTGTGAGATTAAGAGAGAGATTGAGCCCCTTTTGAGATGGCTCTTCCTCTTAAACATCACTCTGGAACAGCTCTCGGCATCTGATGCCTCGTTAATCACAACACCCCTTCCCTGACCCACAGTCACCCCCGGCCCAGGGACACCCAACTTGCTGCTTAGGCTAAGCCCTTCCAAATATAGCAGCCATTCCTGGTCCGTCGTCTTTTGATCTGGGAGGCCAGAGCGGTCGTCGTATTAGAAGGGGATTTCGGCAAAGGGCTGGTGACGTCAAGGCTTGCGGGGAGCCGAAAGGGCACATCTGTCTGCAGCAGTCCCCTGCCGCCTTGTCTGGGAAACGGGTCTGTGAAACTGTGGTACTCCGGTACCAGCCTTGGGCACAGAAAAAAATTAGACATTGATGTCTTCTGTGTCCTCTTTCCTTCCCCCCACCAAAAGTGGGGAGAGTCACTGATTCTCCCTCTTCTTTCCCAGTCCCAGTCCTTCTCACTTACCCTGAAAGCCACCTTGCAAAGAAGCAAAGGGGAGCTTTGCTGCAAAGTATAGGGTTGGGAAAAATACGGAGATCTCGCACTTCTACCTCGGTAGGGTGAATGTAGGGCAGCTTCTCCCATCGGGCGCCTCTAGATATGTCAGTTATGTGCCTGTCACAGCTGGGAGTCTGAGGTATTTGAAGGGCACCCTGACGGGAAGGCAAATTTAAGGTAGTCACTGGTGTGTCTCCTGACACTGACAGGTTCAGACAAGTGGGTCAGCCAGAATTCACATGTTGCCCTAAAGCAGCTTGTGGTTGGTTGGGTTCTGATTTAGCATAGTAGGTGTTTGCAGTTGTTGTGGCTTGTAAACCATGGCTTATGGTCAGCCTCATATGGGAACCCAGGTAATGGGCTGTGAGAATAACCTTGGGAGACAGGAGGAAGAAACGCAGCCCAGACAACAGTCAGAGAAGAGACATCTCAGCCCACATAAGGAAAAGGGACGTGGGAAGCATCTCAGAAGGGACCCTCCGTTCTCTGGAAAGTAAAGGCTGGGGAGGGGGGAAGCGCTTTCAGATTTGCAAGATTCTGTTATTGTGGCCTTACAATAAAGGTAGTATTAGTGCTCATAATTTTGACTACCTGTCTGGACAACCTCAAAGGGTAATCTGAATCAATCTTGCAACTCTCCATGCGCCTCCCCCCTCCCTGCTTTTATCCTAAAGAGAACTAGGGAGGGTCCAGTCTGAGACGTTTTCTCAAATTCCATTCCTGCTTTGGACTCAGATTTCATTTAGCCGACCGTGGCCTTGTCTGCAGCTCTTCCTCCTGTCTCCCAAGGTTATTCTCACAGCCTGTTACACCAAGCCAATTGTTTATCCAGTGAACCTTGATTAAACCAACCATGGCTAGATGTGATGTGTGAATCCAGCCAGAGTGGTTTCACAAAACAGAGAACAATCTGAATGCAACTGGGCAAAATAGCCTCCTGTAACCTGGTGCCCATAGAAACCTTGGGATGGCAGGAATCCACTAATTCACCCCCAAGTGGCCACCCACCTCCAAAAGAGAATCCACCATTGTTCTAGGCAGACGATTCCACTACTGAGCAGCTCCCACCATCAGGAAAATCATCCTGAGAGTCAGCCTGAAGCTCATTTTTTTTCACTTCAACCCATTCCCCTTGCTCTACCCCCCATGTCAACAGAGCACAGGTCCACCTTCCACGTAAAAAACATTTAGGTATTTGGAGACGGCTTTCGTATCTCCTGTTAAGCTTCACCTTTGCAAACTAAACATGCCATTGTGCTGTTCCTGATACAACTTGGTTTCCAGTCCTCTTATCAATTTGGAAACTCCAGATTGCACCAGCTCCATATTGTCCTTTCAAAGGACATGCCCCAAACCAGACACAGTTCGGCAAGAGCGGCCTCATTAATTAAGTTTTCAAAAGCCTTTGTCTCAGTAGCATGGCTACAAAATTGAACCCAGGCTGTGCGGCTCATGGGACGTCCACAGGGCATGATCCAAAAGGTCAGGTGGTGGCTGCCTTGGAGCGACTGAAACTCTGCCTGATTTTATGTGCAGTTGGACCATGCCCTGTGGACACCCCTGTCAGCCCCTCTAGGTGGGCCAGACCAAGAAACCAGATCCACAGGAAGGCTAAAAATACTTTTATTGAGATTGGCTCTAATAACAGAATTTTGCAAGTTGGATTGTGTTGGATCTCCTTCCCCTTCTTATACTCCTGCGAATCAGGGAGGTATCTGCCTGATCCACTTCCAAATGTTATCTGGATCCTTCTGGACTTAAAAAATGCTTTACCCCTCGTTGCCTTGGCAGCGGAGCTGGCATGTCTCTGTCAAGGTCATCTTCTTACTCTCTACAACCCTTGACTGCTTCATCTTATGAAGGAAATATAAAAATTAGTCCTAGAGCTGAACCTCACTCAGAGGCCACCTAGTCCAACCCCCCTCTATAAAGAAAAAAGAGACAAAGAGATTTCAGCCTGTCTCACATCTGCCTTCCAACCCACTGTTAAATAATCAGTTGGGAATCTTTAGCCAAGTCCCGGTTGAGGATAGTACGTCCTGGAGAAAGTCCACCTAGGTGGTTGCTAAGAGTCAATGTCGACCTAGTCAATCAAATAGCTGAAATCCGTTTCCCAGTTATATCCACCCCTTTGAGGTTGTCCTCTGAAGCCAAAGAGAGCAGTTCTGTTCTATCTTCTGCCTGGCACCCCTTCAGAGAGACAAAGGCCACTCTCAGTCTTTGCGTCATCTTCTCTGGAGGCAGCGGACTCTTTCAATTGTTCTTGTCAGACGTGCACATCCAAACCCCTTCTCTGCACAAGCTCCAGTTTGCATGTCCAGGCATTAGGAATAACATGGAAGTGGGGGGAAATCCAACCTCTTCAAGACAGGAATTCCCTGCAAACACTAAGAGGTCTCCCTGGGAAGGGGGAAATGTCTCTCTTCCCATTTTTAGAAACAGTGCAAGGTTGCAAGGAAAGAAAACAGAAAGGAGACCCTGTTTGAAAGTCAGCGTCCTGGGTCGGATGGTGCCATCTGTTGGCGTCTCCGCTGAGGACGTGGACCTGCATTACTACAATTTTCCAGCGCCCGCCTGTCTCTCTGTTGGCTTTCTGCCACAGGGCAAAGTCCTTCCTTCTCAATGAGGCTTTGTTACTGCTTGAGATAATTTTTTTGCTGGAACATTTATCTGTTAGTTGTTTGTATTTTAACCACATTAGGCTTACCCTTCAGTAGGGTTTAACTTCTGAGAGGAAGGAGGACTGCTGTGAATTATTTGGTTTCCTGCTTAGAACATTGTACATGGAAAGGTGGGGTGCAAATGTTACATTCACACACCCCCACAGTCATACTCAAAGCAGGAATCAAGACAGAATATGTGATTGATTGATTGATTGATTGATTGAGTGCTGCAGTCAAGTTGATGTTGACTCTTGGCAATCACATAGACAGATTTTCTCCAGGAGGATCTGTCCCCAACATGGTCCTTCAAGTCTTCCTATGGTGCCCCCATCACTGTGGTAACTGAGTCCATCCCCCTTGCTGCTGGTCGTCCTCTTAGAGCAGTGTTGTCCAAACTTGGCCACTTTAAGATGAGTGGACATGCTGGCTGGGAAATTCTGGGAGTTGAGGTCCACTCATCTTAAAGTGGCCAAGTTTGAACAACACTATCTTAGAGTCTTCATGTTGATTGATTGATCATGTGCCATCAAGTTAGTTTCACTCTTAGTGACCACATAGATAGATTTTCTCCAAGATGATCAGTCCCTAACCTGGTTTTTCAGCCCTTACAACTGTGCACCCATCACCTGAGTCTGTCCACCTTTCTGCTGTTCATCCTCTTTCCCACAATTATGGATTTCTCCAGAGAGCTGGGTCCTCTCACAATGTGTTGAAAGAAAGTAAGTCTGAACCTGGTCACTGAAGCCTCGAGGGAGAACTCTGGGCTGATTTGCTCGATGATCCATCGGTTTGTTTTCTTGGCTGTGCATGGTCTTCTCAGGAGTCTTTCCAACCCCAAAGCTCAAAAGAGTCAATACTCTTCTGCTTCTTCAGACTCCAACTTTCACTTCCATAAAGTGTCACAAGGAATATCATTCCTTGCACATTTCTGATCTTGTAGGTGTAGACACATCATGGCACCTGAATAAGCTGTATAGTAAAACATAATACACAACTAATAATACTGTTCAAAATCAATACTTGAGGTGGTTAAAGAAACAACTTCTCCAGCATAGTCCTTAGCTTTCCACACACACCGGGCCTCTGATTCCCAGTCCGCCCAGCCCAGAGCCTCGTGGGCAGGAAATGAGGTGGTCATACTTCATTCATGGCTCGGGGACCTGCCAGTCTAACCCATGTGGAGAACAGCAGCTTTGAGAAGGTTTCTGTATGCAAATGCCTGGGAAAAAGTGCAACTGATTATAGGGTTTCTACGTTCTGCGCTGTGCTGCTGCTGATTTTTTAATATGATTTGGGTTTTTTCCCTTTCTGTGGGCTTTTAAAGAAAATTGGAGCAGCAAGTAGCTTCTTAGCTATTATGCTGACATTAAAGACGAAGGAGAAGTATAAAATTTCCAATGCACAAATTTTACTGAAAGGCATCAGCTTTTAAATAACAATTGTTCTTGGAAAAGATGCTACCAGACTCCTTCTGATATTGGTAACCCCCTTAGGCACCCTTGTTCCAAAAGGACAATAAAGTGAACAAAATATAATAACAATAAAAAAAACACCCCGAAATGTAACAAAATATACCTAACAAAATATAATTTAAATCCTACACCAATCTAGCCACTTCACTGCAACTGATGACGTGCAGCTTGCAAAAGCTGATGCCTTTTCATAAAATGTATTTGTCAGAAAAGGGGCTGCCAAATTCCTTCTGATTTTTGGCCCCATGACACTAACACGGCTCTCCTACAGTCTCTAAAAGTACAGGGCGTTAATTCTTAGAAAGATACGGACATTTTTTCATTAGCTCAGAGCAGACTTTCCTTGGAGGGCGCAACAGAGCCTTGTTGGGATAATATTTATCCATTAATAAACTTGTCTTTCAAACCTAACCTAAAGCGGTCCTCTTGGGCCAATGTCACCTTAGAAATCTCGCTGGGCCAAGCGGGGCTTGCTTTGGAGAAAGGAGTTATAAAGGAGAGAAGGCAAAGGTGCGTGTTGGATTTCACCCGCTGTTTCTGTTTCTCACCCAGGTTGTCAGTTCCTTATCCTTGAGACCGTGAACGTTTTCCGGAAATACATTTCCATCTTGGATGCCCCCCTCAGCTGCTACAAAGACCAGGATGTTGTCTTTATATTGACGGAAAAAGAAACAGAATTGGCCAAGGTAAGCGTATCCATGACATCCTCATTCCAGTCCAGAAGCTCCCCCAAGCAATTGTTTCCATATGCAGGAAGATCTGGAGGGCTGGACACCATCTTTCCTTAGCGGTGCAGGCTTTCACGGCCCGGTATCTGTTGAGCGGTGTTGAGGGGCCATGGCCTACTGGCAACTGTGACTGGCATCTCCAGACCCCCTGGCCTCTGAAGATGCCGGCCGCAGTGGCCAGCAAAACATCAGGACATCTGCTGTCTAGACCACGGCCCCTAAACCCTGAAGCTCAACATGGCCCAGAGGTTTTAGGGCTGGGCTGAGCAAAGGCACCTCACCCACCCTGGCTGCAACCTCCTCTGCAAACCCTGGTTTGCCAGGGAAGGAGGGAAACAAACCCAAGCATACGTCTGGCCCAGCGAACCCAAACAGCAGAGACTCGGTGCTCTAAACGGGCAGCCGGCGCCCAACTGTCCGCGCAGGGATCCTCGGGGAAATGAGATTTACTCAGATTCAACATCCCACTTTATTTTGTTCTTAAAACGTCCTCTGGAGGGGGAGTAATGAAATGAGCCATAAAGCAAGACGCTTGAGATTATTGGCCACGTGCAATCCAGAGTAAAGCCCTCCATCCGGCGGCTGGAGAATTCCAGCCAGCAAGTTAAAAAACTGATGCAAGTTTTTGGCTATCCAGGTCAGGACTTCCTTTCCCCTCTGCAACAGCCGATCTCCCAAATCCTGTGCAGATATTCCACCCCCCAGGGTATTTACTCATCCAGAGGAGCTAATTGCCCTGCCTGAAAGCCCCTTCCGCAATAGGAAAGGACGGTGTCTTACACCAGGTTCCTGCCGCCATGCCCAGTTTTGCTCTCGTCCTCTTGCCAGTTTCAGGATGTGCCGTTCTCAGCCCTTTCTTAAAGGTGGCAGGAACTGATCCTGCCCCTTCTGCACGCAACGCGCTTGCTCCGTAATGGAGCTCTGGGCCTTGGGACCGGCTTTGGGAAGTGGGAAGCTGAGTTGGAATCTGCCGCTTCCAGCTTAGTCAGGCCTGGGGATGCCTCTGACCCCCAGGGAAACCTCAGGACCCCACTTTCTTGCCAAGTCCAGCAAGAAAATGGCTATTCTGCTCCGGTGTTTTCACAAGTCAAGTCCCCCTTTAGGCATGGCATTCGCTGAATTGTGGCGCAGGGGATTCTCGACGTCTCCCTCAACTCAGCAGCGATTATTCATGGTTTGTAACGGCTTCATCCAAAGCCACCCCCTGGGGTTCTCCTCGCATACAAGTCAGGCCTGGCTTAAGTCTGGTTGTGTCTCCTTTTCCAGAGGGCGATGTGGTGCCACCACAGCCAGCTCCTCTGGTTCCGCCGCCTGTATGTGACGTTCTCACGCTACATGGTGATCAACTCACTGCTTTTCCTCTAATGGGGAAGAGATTTCAGATTAACTGGGGACGCAGAGAGAAAGAGAGGAAGACTCGGCTCCCCAGGTCCCTGCTGAGTGGAAAAATGGCACAGGACCTGCTCCAGACTGAATGACCTTCCTGAATGGGAAGCTGCGCTCAGTGATTCTTCCATGTGGCGTCACAAATGTCTACTTCCAGCTGCCACTTACGTTCTTGTTGTGACGACGGAAGCGCAAGGAACCACTGGGGAATGTACCTCAGTTCCTTCAACTTGAGCAGGACGTGCGTTACGGTGCAGTGTGTATTGTGCAGAAGGACGGGGGGCGATCCTCCCCCTTCGGATGTATCAAAATACAGGACAAATGCTTTAAAAATATGTGTTTTTTATTTTTTCAAAACAAGTCAGAGTTTCCTCAAAAGTGAGAAGTGTCATTTTGGACAAGGCAACTCTAGAACTGCATTCATACCGAACACTAAACCTGATTACTGAATTAATCCACTTTCTGCATTCACATAACACACAAAGACATTCCACCCGCCCCCTACCCCGCAAGACAAACCAAGCTTGTTACACTGTGCAGCTCCAGCCACTAGGTTTGCAGCTGACTGAGTTAAGCCTGTGGTAAAAATAGGCTTTTACAGAAATTATTCTAAGCACCATGATGGAGCAGCGCCTCCTCCGAAAGAAACGGATCTGCCTTAGAATCTGTTCCTTTCTTTAGATAAAAAAACGGGAATCATCTCCAAATTCCAGGCTGACAAACCAAGACTCTTGGTTAGATGGAACTCCCTTCTCACAGAAGGAGATCTCCTTGTAGAAGCTGAAAATAGGACACCTCCATGGAAACTCTCCTCTGGATCTTTGCACATCAGCAAGCATTCCGGCGTATTCTTTGGGCCTCACAGTGTTTTAATCTTTTTTTTTAAAACGCTCTTTTTTCTCAGTATAAGAAGGCTACAATTCTTTTGGGGGGGAGGGTGCAGGATAGAGACAGTCCTGTTTCTATACAGCTAGTCTATAGATGGGGGATACGGGCAGCAGAGAGTGGAGTGTTTCACAAAAGTGGCACGCTTTTGTTTCCTAGAGGAATCCGAGGATAACGGGGGAGAAGAGATGGCCCGCTGAGCGTCTGTGTTTCCAGAACAGGGCAGGTCATGGCTTCGACATATTCCGGATGGTGGGGTGGCCCTTCACTGCTTTCTCCCACTCCTTCCCATTGATGGGCTCCACTGTGATCTTGGTGATCGTTCCCTCGTCCAGGCAGTGCGGAGCGATTCCTGCAAAGAGACAGGCAGCCGTAGCAGAGAAGGCAAGGCCGCGCTCTACCTTTCGCAAGGGCAGATCAGGTCTTAAGTGAAGAATATGTTTGGCTCCTGGGATTGAAGCAGGGGCTGAACTGGTGGTGGGGCAGTAGGGCCAGGACAAGAGGTCCACGTGTTTTCATGTTCTGTGGAGCTATCTGGAGCAAGGAGATTGGCAACGGGGGGGCACTGAAACTTTCTTTCCACCCCATAGCTGTCCCACAGAGTTCTGCTCTTCACATGGGAAGGAGGGAAGGAAGGAAAAATTCCAGGATGGTTCAGTGGCAAAAGCTAGCTGAGGTTCACTACACCCACAAATTGCTCCCCTAGAATACTTTTGTTCAGCACCGGAATTTCAGAATGCCACAAACTGCAATTTAAGGTTCGCTTGGAACCGTCTTTTTGCTCTGGCATTCCGAACAGAAAGGAATTCGACCCAAGGATGTACAGCGGTGGAGAGGTCCCTGCACGGGCAACACACACACACACACCCCTACCTCATGACAACCCTGAGCCTAAAAAAAGTAAGAAGCCACCGCTAAACTTGTGGCAGATAATGTCCAAATCAGTGTTGTTTGGGGACAATTCTTTTGTACATTAAATGGTTTTACATGATCCGAAGAGGCCTGTTGTTCAAGGTTTTACTGTCAAAAGCAGCTTATTTTGTTGTTACAAAATAGAAGACTAGTAAAAGGAGGGATCACGAAGGGCGATGAGATGGTTGAACACTTTTGGAATGGCGATAGATAATGGCAGACTAAGAAAAGTTCAGGGACCAAGCAGGAGGGGCTGAGCTGAATGAGGCAAATCAGTTTAGGTCCAAATACATCCATCCTGATCTACCTATGGAATGTAAAGATTGTAGGATCCCCTTTCCTTTGCCTGTTTTTTGCAATGAAACGCTTTTAACAGGTATAGAATATGCGGGCGCCATGCTGCAGTTCTGCAAAAAAGGGAACGGCTCTCCCGTAACGCAGAGGAAAGTTCACATCTGTTGCGGCCTGAGAAAACTGGAATGTAGAATAACCAGGGCTGTAGAAAGATCATGGATTCGTCTCTGAGACAGAAGGGCGCTATTAGACAAACCTGACATCTTGCCCGCCCTTTGCCCCAAACCGTATCCTACCGTAGCCGTCTGGATTGGAACGGGGGGTGTAAAAGCTCTGGACGCCGCATGTCTTGCAGAAGGTGTGCTGGGCGCAGTGAGTGTTGAAGGTGTACGTGGAGAGGTGGTCAGCACCCTTGAGAGAAAGAAGACGACGTGATGTGGGTGTTTGGGGGAAAAGCTCCGAGAATGTTATGGGTGTCCTTACTGTGGTTTTGTAAGATCTGTGCAATAGTGGAAGAGTCTCTCTAGGGAAAGGGTGAGTTCTCCATCTCTGAAGGTTTTTAAGAAGAGGCTGGACAGCCACCACCTCTCTGGGGTGGCTGAATTAGTTTGCCTACACTTGGCAGGGAATTGGACTAGATCAGCATTTCTCAAACTTGGCGACTTTAAGAGGCGTGGACTTTAACTCCCAGAATTCCCCACCCAGCCATGCTGGCTGGGGAATTCTGGAAGTTGCGGTCCACGCCTCTTAAAGTCGCCAAGTTTGAGAAACACTGAACTAGATGATCCTTGTGGTTCCTTCAACTCTACGATTCCAAATGAGATTGTATACATGGGATCAGAGGACGATATATATAAGCCATGATAGCCATGGCAGGTTTGGGTCCCTCCACTGATGCCGGGATCCCGTCCCTTGCCACCTGACTCTGAGCAGACTCTCTGGTAATGCTAACAGACCCTTTTTCCCATGCCGAGCCACTACAAGGTCGCTGAGCCTGGATCCCAACTTAACCTTTCGGTGAATCGGTAAACAGGAGGATGGTCTCTCAAGGAATCAGGTTTTCCACCCCTCAAAATGTAAACAGGGGAATAACACCCCCTCCCCGTGGTCTAGGCAACATCCCTACCCCCTCCCCTTCTTACCTTCAACAGCTTAAAGTGGGAAGCAGGCACGATGAAATGTCTGTTTTGCTTCTTAACACAGATGCTGCAGCTGGAGAAGGGAAATGGGAGAAGAGGAAATGTGAATTGGGGAGAGGCTATCTCAACGAGATACTGAGACAACAAGGGTAAGCCTGCAAGTTTTAAAAAAAAGGAGTTTGGTAGCCCCTTTTCCAACTCACCAATTTTATTCAGAGGCAGAAGCTTTTGTAAGTTTTCGGAGAAGGGGCTAACAGACTCCTCCTGATTTTTGGCTAGCCTAGACTGCTTCTCCCACAAGAGAAAAAAGAAAATGCTGGCCATCAGGGGACTTATTTTCATTCCGATTCAAATCTCCCTCATTTCACCCGAGATGCAGTTCCACAGCAGGAATCTCTGGAAAGACTCTGCTGGCCCAAACAACTGTGAACGAACATGCTTTTTACAGCTTCCTCGGGGGGCAAAGCCTCTGTTGATACTTACTTGCAGTCAAAGACATGGAGGTTATCGGAGGCCCAGACTTCAAAACGGACGGCCCCGCAATGGCAGCCTCCCGTGTGTTTCACCAGTCCTTGGTACTCGCTAGAGAGAAAGAGATCCTTTACTGATCATTTCTAGAACCAGTGAGTTCCAGTAACTACATGGAGGCTTTTGCAGAAAGAACCCAACTCGGGGCTCCTACAACAAATAATCCCATATCCTAATGGCAGACGCACTCCCCAAATGCAGATTAGCCCAGGCAAACCGAAACAGCAGTTCAGGGCTGGCAGAAATATCTAGCGTGTGTGGACTCCAGCAGCTCATGGAGGAGAATACAACCACTAGTGGCCGGAACGAGATATAGTGTATTATCCTGGAAGAGGGCATCGGTGGCTGGAACCCTGGAGAATTAGCACTTTGTGCTGGACCCATTTTTCCTCTTTACACAAAAGACACCACCTTTTTCTCCAACTCTTGTTTTCTTAGCACAGGCCCCCAGGTAGCATCTCCCAGATGCGTGGAGCTTCCACTCCTATAAACTCCTAGCTAGCAGGGCTGTCGGCTGCCCCAAGAGTATCTATGAACACGGGCCTCTTCACGATCTCCAGAGGTTGCCAGCCGAGTCCAGGGCGGAAAGCCAGCCAATTAACTCTTCTCCGGGATCCCTCTCGGCCAAGAGATCTGGAGAAGCCATCTGGGGTGGGGGGGGGGGCCAGGCAAAGACCCAGAGGGGCTCTGGAGATGGAAGGAAGCCCCACCTGGTTCAGGGAAACCAGCTCTCCTAAAGAACAAGGCCGCTCTTTTCTCTCCGGGTGGCCAAAGTCTCCTTCCGCAGGGTCCTTTTTGGTGAAGTGTGAATTCAGGCTGCTCTCAAAGGCAGGTGCTGTTCCAGGTGCTGTTCAGTTTCCCCCACTTCCCAGAAGGTGCCCCCATTCCCCACCCAGCAGGATGTCCCAAGCCATCTTGCTCCCCGGCTGGAGCCCCAGCGCCCCCCTCCCCACTTGCGCCCTGGCAGCAAGGCACAGAGGCTCAAGGCTGCCCCAGTCCATCCCGCCCC